TCCTTACAGTAGAACTAAGTCGACTGCCACCCCCTGACGGAATCGGGAAGAATCATGGCAGGGAAAGTGCTTTTGTTTCTCATCTGGATCCCTAACCCCCAAACATCTGAATCACATGTGTCCTCTCATCACTCGGATTGTCTTTCTTTGCCGACTGGGAGCGGCAGGTGAAAATGTGTTTGAACAGACCCCAATGTGGTCGACATCCCAGAAAATTCTCGCACATGGACACATAGGCAGCTAGATATGTGATAGTGTTGGGGGAGAAGTGATGAAGTTGAGCCCCGCAGAAATTCAGAAACCCTCGGAAGAAAGGATGGGGAGGCAAGTTAAATATGCGGTCGACATGGGTGGCAAGCAAGACGCACTCACCCTCTTGTGGCTGCGGCTTGGTCTTGTCCCCCGGAAGCCGCCAAGACTCATGGGCAATCAGTCCTTCGTCCACCAGATCCTCCATGTCCTCCTTCACGATGGTCGACCGGATCCAGTCGCCCTAGATCCAGCCGCGCGGTAGAGAAGATCTCGACAACGACCCGCCCCGGTTCGTCTTCTTCCCCTTCGCCTTCGCCGTCGCTTTCTTCGCACGCTCCAGGGCGGCGGTCTTGTCCTTCCCCATTACGGCGGAATGGGCTCGAGGTGGGCGGCGGCGCCGAGAGTGGAGACGGGAGCAGTGGAGGAACAGAGGAGGAAGAAGGAGAATCTGACGCACACTGTGCAAAATCCCCCAGCCCGACGTCTTATATGGAGTCATTTCCGAGCGACTGACGACTGGGCCTGGGCAATCGTGTCAAATCCCGCAACCGTCACCTGCTCGGTACATGGCGAAAAAGGTGGCGCGGTGATCGAGGCGCCCCTGCCTAATCCATCCCGATTACTGCGGCCTCCTCCGTCCCGCGCACTTCCCAAAATTTCGAATCCCGTAAGATCCGAGAACTGCAGAGCAACCTATCAAACTAAAGATTTCTTTCATATCAACACTCGGAACTTATCCGCAAAAGTTCATTCGACAAACTAAGAATGGATCAAGGCGACTGAAAAAGAAGTTGAAGCCATCGTGTTGTTCAATGATCCTAACAGGACGCTTCTGAAGCATAAAAATTGAGTCGGAAGTATTTTTAACTCCTTCTCTACTCGAACCCTGAACCATTCAGGGGCTAATGATGAAGCTATGTACCTAAGGTAGGGTCATAGGCCTGACCTAGACACCCTCCCCTAGGACATCACCCTAAAGTCAGAAGCATTCAAGGGATACCATCATCCACTCGACCAGAAACATTCCACTCGGAAGAATCTATGTCACTCGACCATAGCAATGATCACTCGACAGACAGAAGATCGAAAGCCACTTTGAAAAGCAACGGTCGGGCGTTTACTCTATAGACTTAATGGTCATTTATGTCACTTTATTACTAGCGTTATCAGAAACGCCCCATCTTTATGTACCTTAAACCCTTTGTAACTGAGGGCGGGAGGGGTCTAGCTAACTCTATATAAGCCACCCCCTCCTCAGGGACAAGGGTTCGCACCCCCTGTAACACCACACACATATAATCCAGTCGACCACCTCCGGGCACCGAGACGTAGGGCTATTACTTCCACCGTGAAGGGCCTGAACTCATAAATCTTGTGTATAGAACTTCATCATAGCTGGGATCTTGCCTCCTCACACCTACCTCCCATTCTATTGTCAGTCTTAGAACCATGACACCCCCGCCTCCAAAACAACATCACCCCCTACTCCTCCCTTCCGCCTTCCATGCCACCATATTAGTTAACCCAAGCAACCACCTGAATCTATCAAGTTCTTTCTCTGTCAGCCTTGTTTCACATAGAAATAAAAATGTCGAGATCCTCCATTCTTCCCAATACGAGAAGAGAGCAAACTGTCGGGCCATTCCCGAGTCCCCGGCAGTTCCAGCTAATAATTTTCATTGCTCCCAGCGGGGCTGATCCTGCAGCCCGGCCGATATGATAGTGTTGTGTTCAGCACTCCTATTATCCTCCTCCTTCTTCGATTTTGGCCCTTCCTCCACAGTAATCTCCTCTTCTCCATCCCGCTCCACCTCCCCTTCGAAGCGTCCTTTCTTCGCTGGCACAAGCACATCAATGTCCATTTGCTCACTCAACCTCTTGCCTACTGTCTGCATATTTGTAGGAGGCACACTGTCCGTGTTTGTCGCTGCCCTCGACTTCCTCTTGTACTTCTTCACAGTCAACTCCTTTGTGGCTTTCTCCTTCTGTTTGTTGCTGGGTCCCTTCTCTTTGCCTTCCCCACTAGTCACCCTCCTCGTTCCCTTTTCACCCTTCTCATCACCTACTATGTGGATCAACACGTCTACAAGCTTGCCCCTCTCTCCCCTCATGTACGTAAGGCTATCCTTTTCTCCCGGATTAAGGTCCAACTTCCTCTGGACTGTACCTGCTGGTTCAATATCTTTTGCGCCCCCATTTGTACTCTTCTTCAATGGACTAGTGACCTCCTTGCCATCATCCAACTCCTTCGAGCCCAGGCTTTTTGATGCTTGTGCTTCTTTCCGCCATGATGGCGCATCACTTCCTCTAGAGCCTCCGCCCCTGCTCAGCCTGTACCTCCTTCTATCACCCACGTCAGAATTTGCACTACCCCCTCTCCCTCCACTCCAGCTTCTACTCCCACTCCCAGCACCGTCCCTCCCAGCCGGCCATCTACCTCTCCCTCCCTCGTCAGTCCTTCTACCAGTGTCTTCCACCCTTAACCATGGCCCAAACTGCGGTGATCCCCTCTCAAGGGTTTAGACATGCATTCGTTTTCCACATGTCCAGTAATTATGCAGGTATAGCAGAAATCCGGCAGATGTTCATAAGCAAACTTGCACCATAGTAACTTCTTCTTCCACTTGCTGTTTGTCGTGTCCTCCATTACTACATCTTCACCCCCTTTCTGTTTCTCCCTGTCTAGCAAAAAGCCACGCATCAGGGGCTCTTGTATGTTCAGCTTGACTTTTATTCGCAAGTACTTGCCCATTGCCCTTTCATCATGCCCAACATCCACACCCAACAGCTCATCAAAGTCCTTCCCAATCAGTTCCCCCATCTTCCTGTTCATGGATCTGAGTGGCAGCCCCAAAACCCTGACCCAGATAGGGATCCGGTTGAAATCATACTCGTCCACCGTTTTTGTCCGGTCAAAGTCCTCCATGACCAACAACTCCTTATCAAACCACCATGGTCCGTCCTCCAGCACCCTCCTCCACCTTGCATGTTGCCGAAACGTGAATAGGAACACATTCTCCTCAATCTCCTTGCATCCTACCCCCTTAATGGGACACTAGATCTTCCCCGGCGTATTGCCGACAACGTGTGCGTGCGCAAGCTTCTCCGAGAACAGCTTCCCTATCGCTTGTGGTTCCTCCTCCGCCCAATCAAACACCTTCTCCAGCTCCATCTCCGCCATCCTCAACCCCTTCTTCTCCGCCGTAGTAAGCCTGGGACCTCTCATCAATCCCTACACGTCCTCCATCTCCCCTTCTACTCCCCTCACGCCACCTACCAGTCTAGGTTACAGTGTGTGTACGATCGTGAGCCCTAGAAACCCACGAAAGGCTGAGTGTTGGGACGGGATGATCCAGTGCGCCGCACTCCGGGAGGAGGGAGAACACATGAGATCTTGGTGGTGACAATGGTGGCGGCGACCAGGCGAGCGCTGGAAACCCCAGGCCCGATCGGGTCGCCTCCTGATCGCCACAGCGCAAGTTACGGAACCGTCACCCTGGACGGACTCGAGAGAATGGTGCTACCAAGTCACACCACTACAGGATTTAGTCCTTGCGAGTAACGAGTTTAAGGGGATTGACAACCCTCTTGCCCGCTTGGGTGCAAATATTTGTTTTTGTGTGTGCATGTGCTGTTCACTAGGGTTGAATGATTCTTCTATTGGTTCGATAAACCTTGGTTCTTGTTGAGGGAAATACTTATCAGCTATTATATTGCCTTCCTCTTCGGGGAAAATCCTAACGCAGCTCACAAGTAGCACACGCTCATCACGCAACCACCCTCGTACGCGTGCCACGGGTCCCTCATGAGTCCCTTCCTTTACCTTATCTCGTACACAACAAATGTGAGCCACTTATTTTCTTCATCTTTTTCTTCTTCCTTCTTTCTTCAACGGATTAACACACCACAATCACGTTGGCCGTCGGCACCTTCCTGGCGGCCCACGACGAATCAAGGCCTCCGCCTCAGCGCGACCTCGACCACCCTCCTTCACGCCCGATGGCAGTCACGCCACCCCTACCAGCCCCACGCCGGCGACCCACATGTTCCAGGCCGACCACCAACAATGTTTGCATCCTTCTTTGGGCCTCCATGTCCCGGCCTCCAGCACCATCGTCACGTCTATCAAGAGGTCAGAGACGAGTTTCTGCAACAACGACACTGTTGCAAATTGGGCGGCGAATGACAAAGGGGATTTAGTTTTCTGCAACAAGCCTCTTGTTGCAGAGGGCCGAGCGCAACACTATGTTTGTTGCAAAGGGGGCAACAACGTCGTTTCTACAACAAGGGTCTTGTTTCTCACATGCCTTGTTTCAAAGAAAAAATGGTTCAGCGGGAGCGCAACAAGTCTCGTGCTGTAATGTGCCGGGTGCAACCCGGGCCTTGTTGCAAAGGCTGGTGCACACTCACGCGGAGAAGATTGGACGGCTGTCGAACTCGCCATCCAACGGCTACGAAGGAGGCATATAAACATCACCCGGCCGACGCGTAGCACACCCAAAATTAATGTGCGAAGTAAATAAAAACAAATGAATGAAGTACTGAATAGTGTTTGAAACTCCAAAAAATAATAATTCAGGAATGTATTCATGAACTGTACTCCTTTTAGATTAGAAGTGAGCATTTTGATATTTATTCCCCTTTTCTAAACCTGACTTATTTTGGCCGCGCACCATAAAACCCAGCAATCGCAATTCTTTTCAGACGCTTACCGTTACCTAAAACCCAGAACCCGCAACTCGGCAGCCATGCCGCCGCCGCTCAAGAATCGCAGCCACGCTCCCGCGAAGGCCGGGCAGAGCCGGCCGCCGCCACGCCAGCCGGGGCGGCGGATGGCTAGGCGCGACGGTGGGGAGCGAGCGGCCTTCTTCGCGCGGCGCGAGGCGGCCACGGTGCTCCGGCGCGTGCTACGCGGGGACGCCTCCAAGCGCTCCGGGGGATCCATCAAGTCCCTCGTCTTCTCCCCCTCCGTACGCAACAAGCGTGCCACCTTCGCCCTCGTCTGCCAGACCCTCAAGTGTAAGCCCCAGCTCCAACCGGCTGCCTTTTTGCGCGCTCGCGTGCAAGGTGTTCGATGTAATGCCGGTCAAGAGCCTCGTTGCTGCATTCTCGCTATGGTATCCAATGCGTCCGATAGAATGCCGCTATGGAGATATATGCTGCTAAATGTGCGCATCAACTTCTATTTAATGCCCTGGTTGAAGATACTTTAATGTCTTTACTACCTGTGACATAATCCTTTTCGTCCAAGCACGATCTATAGAATGAATAAATATGCCAATGTTAACAGAGTGGATTTCTGCCTAACTCAAACTTCCGGAGAATGATGCTCCGCGAACTCTAATTATAAAACAACTAACCTTAAGGAAATGTACATATTCGATCAGTATGTTAGTCCATCCGATGAGAATGTACATAGTTGACGACCAGGAAGGCAGGAAATAAAACCATATGTGGTGCTTGTTGAACTAAGCAAACACAAGTTCTCTGCAGTTATGCTTTTCCCGTTGTGCTTTAACTCTCAGTTTGTATGTTCCTGCATTGACTTCTCCCTCATAATTTCTTTGTTTCCTTTAATCAGATCTTCCAATTCTTAAGGAGGTTTTAGCATCAAGTGGAGTATTCAGCAGCAAATGGAAGGTCAGCCATCTGAACTAAATTTTATGAATTAATTGATTCCCTTCTTGCTATACACTGTTTATACCAGTCTTGTGTTGATAAGTTTCATGGCCCTTAAGTGTCTTCCATTTTTCTTGCAGAAACAAGAGGAATTAGTTTATGTGACGGCCTACGACATCCTCTTCGGTCAGGTTTGTCAGTTACTAGGTTCTTTGGATCAGTGTCTAACCTTCTAATTGTTAAGTTCTAACCTTGTCGCTGTAAAACAGTTTTTTTTTCTTTTCGAGAAAACGCAAATGGCCTTTGCGTTTCATTGCATTGGAAAGGAAGGGAATTTACATCCTCCTAAGAGGCAGGTTTACACAGCCGGCAGGGGCTCAGTGGACATCCCAGGATGATGGCAAAACGACCCTGAGCCCTTGAGCCCCGGCCTTTGCCCAACATCGGGCCTCGTCCTTGATCCTGTCAACTAACTCATTGAGCGATGGGCTAACATGGTAAAAAACGCACGCGTTCCTATGCTTCCAAAGCATCCACGGCACCAAAAGCGCCACGGATTTCAGCGCCTTGTGTAGCGTTGGCGGTGTGGTCTCCTTCGCACGCAGCCACCAGCCCATGAGCGAGTCGTCGTGCTCGAGCGTCGGCGTTGGCAAACGTAGCCAAGATAGGACCTCATGCCATGTCTGCCTAGTGAATGGGCATGTGAGCATCAAGTGTCTGATCGTTTCCGGTTCTTGGTTACACAGAAGGCATCTCGGGTGGTGCTGCAGGCCACGGCGTGCGAGCCGCTCCGCGGTCCAGCAGCGATCTTGGCATGCCAGCCAATGGAAAAACTTCACCTTAGGCGGTGCCCAGCTCCTCCAAATGAGCTTCCAGGAGTGGCAGCTCGTCGCTCCCCGGAAGGTTGCCCGGTAGCAAGACTGGGCCGTGTATGCGCCATTGGCGGTCCAGCTCCAGAGCAGCTTGTTTGGCTCGTTGGACAGCTCGACATGCTGCACCAAGTGCCAGAGCTTCAGGCACTGTCCAATCTCGGGCAGGCCAAGCAGACCATGGATGTCGCGCGCCCAGCGATTACCGGCCATGGCCTCCGCCACCGTTCTGGACTTCCGGCGACTCTTGGGGATGCACTGATAGAGCATTGGCGCGAGCTCGCGGACGGATTGGCCGCCGAGCCAGCGGTCCTCCCAAAAAAGGGCGGTCATGCCGTCCCCGATGGCCATGGTTGTGGAAGCGTAAAAGAGCACGCACTCCTCCGAAGTAAATTGCAGGTCCAACCCCTGCCATGCTCGATTGGTGTCCGTGCGCTCAAGCCATAGCCAACGTAGCCGTAGCGATAGCCCAGTGCGCTCAAGGTCTCGGACGCCGAGGCCGCCATATTCGAGCGGGCGGCAGACTCGGCGCCGGTTCACGTGGCAATGTCCACCGCGGGCATCTGCGCGGCCGGCCCAAAGAAACCCATGCTGAATCTTCTCGAGTTGCTTCAAGGTCTTTTTTGGGGGCGCGAGCGCGAGCATTTGATGAATCGGTATCGCGCTGGGCACCGACTTGACGAGCGCCAACCGTCCGGCCTTGTTCATCAGCCAAGCCTTCCAGGAAGGGAGCCGGCCCGCCACTGCGTCGACGAGGGGTTGCAGCTGGGCCGCAGAGGGGCGGCGGGTGGTGAGCGGGATGCCCAGATAGGTGACTGGCAGGGTCACGACGGGGCACCCTCTAGCAGCCCCGCAGCAGAATCATCGACGTGTATGACCATGGCAGAGCTCTTGGTGTAGTTTACCCGGAGCCCAGACGCCATACCGAACACGTCCAGGATGCCTTTGACAACGGAAATCTCCTCGGAGGTGGCGTGGCGGAAGAGCATCACGTCGGTGGCGTACAGAGAGATCGCCGGGATGGCATGCCGGGGATGTAGTTGCTGGAGGATGCCTGTCTGAAGGGCGCGACGCATCAGCCTCCCAAGTGTGTCCACTGCGAGCACGAAGAGTTGCGGGGAGGTAGAGTCGCCTTGCCTCAGTCCGCGGCGATGCTAGATCGGTGGCCCGGGAACTCCGTTGAGCATGACACGAGTGCTCGCCGTGGACAACAGGATGGCCAACCACTCTCTGAATCGGTCCCCGAACCCATACTGGCGCAGTACCTCAAAGAGGAAGGGCCAGGAGATGGAGTCGGAAGGCACGTGTGAGGTCGAGTTTGAGCATGATCCTGGGCGCGCCAAGTTGATGCAGCATCTTGAGGGATTGCCGGACCAGAGTGAAGTTGTCGTGGAGGCTACGTCCGGCGATGAACGCGTTTTGGTTGCGGCTGACAAGGGTGTCGAGCTTGGGAGCGAGGCGCAATGATAGGACCTTTGCGAAGATCTTGGCCACTATGTGGATCAGATAGATCGGTCGATAGTCAGCGAGCTTGTGGGCATCCGCGCGTTTGGGCAGCAAGGTCAGCAGCGCTTGGTTGAGTTTGCTGAACCCGCGCCCATGCAGAGTGTATAGCAGCTCGAAAACATCCCAGATGTCTTGGCGAATGATGCTCCAGCAGGCGCGCAGGAACTCCGCGGTGAAGCCGTCTGGTCCGGGTGCTTTGCGCGCCGGCATTCGTTTGACCACCTCCCATATCTCCTGGCTGAAGGGCGCGTCGAGGCATGCGAGGTCACTGGGGGCGGTAAGCCGGGAAAGATCTAGGGTGCGCTCCCGGTCGACGGCGGTGCCCAGCAAGCCATCGAAGTGCATGAATGCTGCGTTGGCCATCTCCTCGTGGTCCGTGAGCACCTGCCCGTTCACGACAAGGCTGTACACGCGATTCTTCTGCCGTTGGTAGGAGCATTGCCGGTGGAAGAAGCTTGTGTTGGGCGTCGCCGTCCTTGAGAGTCGCGATGCGGGCTCGCTGTCTAGCGATCGTGTGCTCCATGGAAGCCATGCCGAGGTAGGCGAGCTTGAGCTGCTTGTGTAGCCACTCCGGTGACGAGAGCATACGGTCCTCACGCGCCTTGTCGAAGCGCAAGATCAGCTCGCGGAATATGGCAAGCTTTTCCCGGATGTTGCCTGTGGACTTAGCACTCCAACTCGAAAGGCGGCGAGCGGTGACTTGGAGGCGTTTGACTAGCCGCCGGAAGGGGTCGTCGTCATGCACCGAGCTCCAAGCCACGACAACGGTGTCGTGGAAGCCGTCCAACCGGAGCCAGTAGTCCTCGAAGTGGAAGCGCTTGTGGGCCGTCAGCATGGGGGAGCAATCCAGCAGCAACGGGCAGTGGTCCGACATGACCGAAGCGAGGCATCGGAGGTGACATTCGCGGTGGCGTCTTTCCAATCCGAGGTGCAAAGAACGCGGTCCAAGTGCACCAGCGTTGGCGGCGATTGCTCGTTTGACCACCTGAAGCGACGCCCGTTGAGATATATCTCCTTTAAGGCGAGGTCGTTGATGGAGTGGCGAAATCTTCCCATCATGCGCCGATGCAGGCCACCCATGTTTTTGTCTTCGTCCCGGTATATGAGGTTGAAATCGCCACAAAGCATCCACGCGCCGGGGCATGCCGCGCGTATGTCACACATTTCCTGGAGGAACATGATCTTATCAGCGTCATCTTGGGGTCCGTAGACCGTCGTCAACCACCACGGCGTCCTGGAGGCCACGGACACCCTAGCCGTGAGTGCGTTCTGCGTGAGCAGGGGGTCAGAGATCGAGACAACCCTGCTCTTCCAGGCGAGGAGGATGCCACCTCGTGTGCCATCGACCGGGAGGTAAGTGTAGTCGTCAAACTCGGAGCCGAGGATGTGTAGCACGATGGGCGAGTAGATCAAAGCCATCTTAGTTTCTTGCAAGCATACAATGGAGGCGCCGGTAGCCCAACATAGAGCGAATGGCACTACGTCGGGCGCGCGAGTTGAGGCCACGGACATTCCAAACTGCAATCTTGAGTCCGTGATCCATGAACAAGCGGTCGACGATGGATCTGCCGGCGGGCCTAGCACTCATTGGCCACGGCCTCACGTGCGGGGGAGGCGATGCACGCTGGGATCTCCCGGTCGACCAGGGCGGCGATGGCCTTGAGCACAGACAGGGGGATTGGCGCCGTGAACATGTCGTCGTAGGCTTTCATCTCAATGGCCGTGATCTTCTGGTTGGTGCCTAAAATTCCCAGGGTGCGCAGGATCTGCACATGGGCCCTCCGTTCTGCCGTCGGCGGCGCCACCGCAGGCCTGGTAGCAGCTGCGGAACGGCCTCGCCGTGGGGCGAAGTTGAGGGGACGACGTGGCCGCTTCCCGGGAGTCAGTAGCGACGCGCTGATGTGCTTTGTGGCCGCGGCCAGAAACTCGCCGAGCGTCCAAGCCTGCTGCGTGGTCGCACGGCTGCGTGATCGACGCATCGTGATTGGCGGCAATGCAAACCGTCCTGATGCCGGAGAACGGGGTCCAGGGACATGCGAGCGGCGATCAGCGTTGGGCGCGGGCGTGAAGAAACCTCAAGGTCGCTGCAGTATGGAGATTGGGCTTTGGGCCCCAGCCTTCGGAGATCGAGTGGCGGGTGGTCCGGCAGAAGCCACAAGGGCCAGCGTTGTTGGAGATGTGGGCTCAGTAGCGGGCGGCCCAGCCCCATTTGGCCCAGCAGCAGGCAGATGATGAGGGGGGCCCTAGCTTTGGAAGCGGCCTTGGGCGCGTGCGCGGTAGCTGGTGGGGCGGGAACCGGTGCGCCTCCTCCCGCCGAAACCGCTGGAGTGGGGTCGAGGGGCAGCGATGACCGGTCAGCGGGGGATCCTGGGCCCGCCAGTGCGACAGGAGTGGGCGAGACGCCACTTTGCCCCGACAAGGCGGCAGGCGATCCTGGCAGTTCTGAAG